CCAGGTGCCGCATGCACGGTCGCGGCAGGGCGTCGTGGTACCACCCGATGGAGATCAAGGTGTATGAGCGACCGCTCGACTGGCGACGCAAGGGAACTGCGGTGTCCGTCGGCCGCCTGCAGGAGTGGTCCCGGGAGTTCATGAAGATTCTCTACCCCCTCGTGAAGTGGAAAGGGAGCCAACGGTGGTCGGACCGGTTCCGTCGGCGGTGGAATCTCAGCGTGCGAATGAAGACGAAGGTCGCCCAGAAAACCGCCACCCGTAAGAATCATTTTTATTCTCTATGCCATGTGTATGCACTTGTTACTCATTAACCGTAACTGTGCTCAACCGCAGATGTCGCGGAGCAGTGCAAGAGTTCTGGCAATTCGTCCGTGACAAGCGTCGGGAGCGCGGCATCGAGACGACGTGGATTATCAACGCCGACCAGACGCCGCTGTGGCTGGAGATGCCCGCCACCACTACCGTCGATCAAACCGGTGTTCGGTCGGTGCCCATCGGGAGCGCGGGGTACCAGAAGGAGTGCGTGACCGTGATGTTGGCGTGCACGGTGGACGGGATGAAGCTGAAGCCGTGGGTTTTTTTCAAGCAGAAGACCGTGCCGAAAGGGGTGTTCCCGCCGGGTCAGTCATGATTCTTGTTTGTATGCTTTTCATCGGTCCTGTTTTTTACGAAAAAACTTACAGAAGCTTCTTTGTTATGCAGATGTGGTCGTGGCGTGTCACGAGAACGGCTGGATGGACGCGGAAGGCGTCATACGATGGCTTGAGGAGAGCGTCAAGCCCTTTTTAAAGCCTGGGTTCGGGAGGCATGCGCGGAGCTCGATGGTCGTACTGGACTCGTACCGCGGTCACCTCACTGAGGGGGTGAAGGAGAAGTTTCGCGAGCTCAACTGCGTGCTGGCGATCATCCCGTCTGGCTGCACGGCGGAGGTACAGCCCCTCGACGTCTGCATCAACAAGAGCTTTAAGGCGAGCGTTCGCCAGCAGTATCAGAAGTGGTTTCAGGAAGAAGGCCAAGAACAGCTAACCAGAGCAGGTATGATAGGCACGCGAGTCCCTATCTTACCGTAGATGATTGTCCCCCCTTTTCTTGCGCTAACTAAATATTGTGTGATTCTGTTGGTACAAGGAACTTGAAGAAGCCACCCCCAGAGGTGGTCGTGAGGTGGATCTCACGGGCCTGGAAAGCAGTGCCCGCGGACCTCATCAAGCGCGCCTCCCTCACCTGTGGCATCAGCAACGCGCTTGACGGTAGTGAGGACGGCCTCGCCATGGCGCACAGGCGGAGCCAGCTGACCGCGGAGGTGGACGTCGATGATTCCATCATCGCCGATGGCTTCTTTGGCAACAACTGCCAGGAGCCCGAATCCGACGAGGAGTAGATTTTCTATGTAGAAATTATAAACTTAGCAATTTCTAGTTTAGTGTCTGTGATAGTGTCTATAAAACTGTATGTTGTAGGTGAAAAATTATCATGTTCATGCTTAGTGTTAATTGTTGTTCATATTTCGTAATGAAACCTCCACAACGTGAAAGGGGTGCGCTTATAAGAAGTACACCCTCTAGAGGGGGGGCGCTTATAATCGAGTTCCGGCCATAAGCGCCATGCTCCAGATAGAAACGCCGGCGCTCTTAATCGGACGGCGCCTATATCCGGGGCCATACAGTATGGACATATCATTTATAGGCTGCGCTACAATGTGTTAGAATCCTTAGGTGAGAATAATTGACTAGGAAGCAAGGAAGGGTACAAGTAGAATGTCGAGAGAATTCTGTACCCCCTAAGGCTAAACCCACTATAGCCTAGACAAATGTAAACACATGAACTAAGCCTAGATATAACTAAGCATATATGTTTGACACACCCCCATAGGCGAAGTGGGGGATAGCCAGAACAATTAATGGTCACAAGACCAGTCAAGAACAGCAAAGCAAGCTCAGGGTGGATCACAAAGTCACCACACAGTCCGAGCACAAGCAAAGGGCCAAAAGGCCAGTTCACATGCAGAGTTATATACAGTGAACAAACAATACAGTGATCATACCCTAACAAGTGTAAGCATGCAGGTATATAGATAGATCACAGTACAGGCAGAGTCAGGCAGTAAGTAAGTGAGGCAAAGTAGGCACAAGGCCTAACACAGTAACAAAGCGCTGATGGTCACCAGGCGGAAGTGCCTTGGTGAAGACATCAGCAGTGTTGGCCCGAGTGGCCACGTACGCGAGACGAAGCTGACCACGCTGCTGCAACTCTCGAGCAAGGAAGTATCGCAGAGCGATGTGCTTCGTTCTGTGCTCCAGTCTGTGCTCCTGACACAAAGCTATCATGGCCTTGTTGTCTACGTACAGGACTGGAGGCGAACGAGGCTGCTCTCCCAGGTCGGTCAACAAGTAGGTGAGCCAGCGTAGCTCCTGAGCAACCATGGCTCCAGCGTAGATCTCAGCCTCACAGCTGGAGCTGAGAACTGAAGACGAGCGGGTAGACCGCCAAGAAACCGAGCTGGACCCAAGGCTGAAGGTGTAACCCTGCGACGACCACTGCGTAGCTGAGTCGTCAACCCAGGAGGCGTCTGCGTGACCAGTGAGGACAACAGGACCCCGTCCTCCAAGCACAAGCCCCATGCCCGACGTACTGCACAGGTAACGCAGTACCCTCTTCGCAGCATCCCAGTGCACCTTTCGGTGCCTACCGGGAGCCACGTAGCGAGCCAGAAGGCTGAGAGGGTACGCGAGGTCAGGTCGTGTGCAAGTCATCAGGTACATGAGGCAACCCACAAGCTCTGGGTACGGACCACTCGGCTCTACGGACTCGTCCGAAGGTGGAGCTGAGAGCGAGTGGCTGGTAGACAGAGGAGTGAGCTGTGGCGAGGAGTACTGGAAGCCGAAGCGCTGAAGGACCTGGTGCACCATGTGTGACTGAGTCAGTGTGATGGTGCGCCGTGCTCTGTCCCGGGTGATCTGCAGGCCAAGGTAGCTGCGCAGTTCACCCAGGTCAGTGCAGGTATGTCTCTTCTGCAGCTCGGACTTCACTAGGGTCAGTGCCTCAGTGTCAGCCGTGGCAAAGACGAGGTCGTCGACGTACACTAGGACGTAGAAGGGCAGCAGCGAGGTGTCGGTGCGTAGAAACAGCGACGGGTCTGCTGTAGAAGGAACAAACCCAAGAGCCGCAAGCGTAATCCTGAGTGTGTCGTGCCACTCGCGAGGCGCCTGGCGGAGACCGTAGACTGGCCGGCGGAGGCTCCACTGGGTACCTGTAGGAAACGAGCCAGTGAAACCAGGTGGTCGGCGCAGCCAGATCTCCTCGTGCAGGCTGCCCTGCAGGAAGGCAGTACTGAAGTCCAGGGAGTGTAACTCGTAGTCACGCTGAGCAGCTACGTGCAGCAACACCCGAAGAGTAGTCATCTTCGGGGTGGGGGAGAAGGTCTGGAAGTAGTCAACTCCCTGTCGCTGACTGAAACCTCGAGCAACGTAACGCGCCTTGAAGGCAGGCGGAGAACCCGGCGGCCGCATCACCCTGAAGATCCACATGCCATCGACTATGTTCACCCAAGGTGGGGGAACCTCGTCAACGTAAGTGCCTGTGGACTTCCAGGATGCCATCTCGGCATCCATAGCTGCCTGCCACTGAGAGGAGTAAGGACCCGTAATCGCCTCTGCGTAAGAGCGCGGGGTCGGGATGTCAGGAGCATCCGGGTCTCCCTCAGGGGCAAGCAGCAAGGAGGCGAAACGAGGTACAGCAGCTGCAAGACACTCAAAGTCCTCCTGCCTGTCCTCAAGGACGTCCGTGCCAAGAGCACACTCACCCCCGACGGACGGAGGACTGGCAGGCACAGACTCAGCAACTAGAGCAGAGGCGTAGTCGAGACGGCAGGCAGCAGCAAAGTCAAGTAGCTCAGCAACGAGAGCAGAAGCAGCAGCAGACTCAAAGGACGGGTCAGTGACAGCAGTGGCAAGGAGACGAGCGACAGTGGGACTGGCAGCACGCGCTCGGTCAGACTCAGGGTCAGGGACCTCAGGAAGAGAGGACTCAGGAGGAGTAGGCAGAGGAACACGCAGTGGAACAGAGGAAGGACGGAGTGCCATGGTGTGCGTGCCTGGGACAGGGGGAGGACGCGAACGAGGAGCGCGACGAGCAGTGCGAACAGGTGAGACAGGACGAGACGCAGGCTCACGACGCTCTGTAAGACCTCCGGACTGCTCAGTGTAAGGAGAGGGAACAGGCAGTGGGGAGGCTGGCTGTAACGGCAGCTGCGACTGGTCAGGCGGTGGACACAGGAAGGGAGGAGGAAGACCAGTAGAAGACGGGACACCAAGAACCTGCTGAAGCAGCGGAACGAAGTACGGGCGCGGCCGCAGAGGGCCTCCAGCACCTCCAGCACCAGGGTCAACAGCTCCAGCACCTCCAGCGCCTCCTGCGCCAGGGCCTCCAACTCCAGCTACTCCAGCTCCAGCGCCTCCAGCGCCAGCTGCTCCAGGCTCCCTAGGGTCTCCAACTCCAGTAGTAACAGCAGCACCTCCAGCTCCAGCGCCTCCAGGCTCGCCTGCTCCGGGAGCCCCACTCCGACGGTGTGCGCGCTGAACAAGCCACTCACGCAGCTGCTGCGAGGACAGTCGCGGTGAAGCACCAGTAGGACCTCCAGACGAAGCAGCACCCCGAGGCTCAGCACCCCCAGACTCCACACCCTCCGACTCAGCACCCTCATGCTCCGCACCCTCCGACTCAGCACCCCCAGGCTCAACACCCTCAAGCTCAGCACCCCCAGACCCAGCACCCTCAGACCCCGCACCCCCCGGCTCCGCACCCCCAGACGCAGCACCCCCAGACGCAGCACCTGGAGCAGCACCTGAGACGACAGCTACCTGAACAGGCGCAGTACCAGGGAGAGGGTCTACCTGAGACACTCCCGAGGGAGCAGGACCCTGGGGCGGGAGGGGGTCTACCGGAGGCGGACCGGGAGCAAGGAAGAGTGATGGGTGATGGGTGATGGGCGTTGGGTGATGGGTGATGGGCGTTGGGTGATGGGTGATGGGCGATGGGTGATGGGTGATGGGCGATGGGTGATGGGTGATGGGCGTTGGGTGATGGGTGATGGGCGTTGGGTGATGGGTGATGGGCGATGGGTGATGGGTGATGGGCGATGGGTGATGGGTGATGGGCGTTGGGTGATGGGTGATGGGCGTTGGGTGATGGGTGATGGGCGATGGGTGATGGGTGATGGGCGATGGGTGATGGGTGATGGGCGATGGGTGATGGGTGATGGGCGTTGGGTGATGGGTGATGGGCGATGGGTGATGGGTGATGGGCGTTGGGTGATGGGTGATGGGCGATGGGTGATAGGTGATGGGCGTTGGGTGATGGGTGATGGGCGTTGGGTGATGGGTGATGGGCGTTGGGTGATGGGTGATGGGCGTTGGGTGATGGGTGATGGGCGTTGGGTGATGGGTGATGGGCGATGGGTGATGGGTGATGGGCGATGGGTGATGGGTGATGGGCGTTGGGTGATGGGTGATGGGCGTTGGGTGATGGGTGATGGGCGATGGGTGATGGGTGATGGGCGTTGGGTGATGGGTGATGGGCGTTGGGTGATGGGTGATGGGCGATGGGTGATGGGTGATAGGCGATGGGTGATGGGTGATGGGCGTTGGGTGATGGGTGATGGGCGTTGGGTGATGGGTGATGGGCGATGGGTGATGGGTGATGGGCGATGGGTGATGGGTGATGGGCGTTGGGTGATGGGTGATGGGCGTTGGGTGATGGGTGATGGGCGATGGGTGATGGGTGATGGGCGATGGGTGATGGGTGATGGGCGTTGGGTGATGGGTGATGGGCGTTGGGTGATGGGTGATGGGCGATGGGTGATGGGTGATGGGCGATGGGTGATGGGTGATGGGCGTTGGGTGATGGGTGATGGGCGTTGGGTGATGGGTGATGGGCGATGGGTGATGGGTGATGGGCGATGGGTGATGGGTGATGGGCGTTGGGTGATGGGTGATGGGCGTTGGGTGATGGGTGATGGGCGATGGGTGATGGGTGATGGGCGATGGGTGATGGGTGATGGGCGTTGGGTGATGGGTGATGGGCGTTGGGTGATGGGTGATGGGCGATGGGTGATGGGTGATGGGCGATGGGTGATGGGTGATGGGCGATGGGTGATGGGTGATGGGCGTTGGGTGATGGGTGATGGGCGATGGGTGATGGGTGATGGGCGTTGGGTGATGGGTGATGGGCGATGGGTGATGGGTGATGGGCGTTGGGTGATGGGTGATGGCGTGGGTGATGGGTGATGGGCGTTGGGTGATGGGTGATGGGCGTTGGGTGATGGGTGATGGGCGTTGGGTGATGGGTGATGGGCGTTGGGTGATGGGTGATGGGCGATGGGTGATGGGTGATGGGCGATGGGTGATGGGTGATGGGCGTTGGGTGATGGGTGATGGGTGTTGGGTGATGGGTGATGGGCGATGGGTGATGGGTGATGGGCGTTGGGTGATGGGTGATGGGCGTTGGGTGATGGGTGATGGGCGATGGGTGATGGGTGATGGGCGATGGGTGATGGGTGATGGGCGTTGGGTGATGGGTGATGGGCGTTGGGTGATGGGTGATGGGCGATGGGTGATGGGTGATGGGCGATGGGTGATGGGTGATGGGCGTTGGGTGATGGGTGATGGGCGTTGGGTGATGGGTGATGGGCGTTGGGTGATGGGTGATGGGCGATGGGTGATGGGTGATATGGGTGATATGGGTGATATGGGTGATGGGTGATATGGGTGATATGGGTGATATGGGTGATATGGGTGATGTGGGTGATATGGGTGATATGGGTGATATGGGTGATATGGGTGATATGGGTGATGTGGGTGATATGGGTGATATGGGTGATATGGGTGATATGGGTGATGTGGGTGATATGGGTGATATGGGTGATATGGGTGATGTGGTGATAGCGCATGTGAGATGGGTTTTGAGGTGCCTCAGCTGGCGGACCTCCGGGCGATCTGCCGTGAGGACACCCCCGGCTGGGTGCACTTCCGTTTGTGGTTGATATGGGTGATGGAGCATGTGAGATGGGTCATGGGTGATTCAGCGTGTGAGAATCGTGGGTGGGTGGGAACGTCAAGCGTCATTGACACCAGCGTCAAAGCTCTGCGTGTTGACACGTGACGCGAAACGGTTTGAAAAGTTGACGCTCTATTGGGGTGGAAGGGCCGTTTAAGAGTGTGGGTGGAAGGCGGCAGTAATAAGGGGCGGGTTCTAGGATTAACTAGTCGATCTGCCTAGTCATGCCAAGAAAATGGCGAGATTTGGTGGTTGACACGTTTGTAGGAGGAGGCTGGTTGGATTCGCTAGTTGTAGTGTGGTGAAGATTGGTAGAAACATTGAATGTCAGGTTTTTTTTTTTTCCTCTGGTCAGCCTGAAAAGAAAACTTCGAGCATCAAGCTTCAAAGGTTTTGTCCGTCGTTGCGCGTCAAAATAGTGAGTTTTGATGCTTGACACTCCAGCCAGGGAGCATCAAAGCCACATACACGTGGGATGGGATGGGAGATACGGTACGGCATGTGGACTGGAAGATAGAGCATGTGGGATGGGCGATAGAGCATGTGGGATGGGCGATAGATCATATGGGAAATCAGAATCAGAAGGGTTCGAACTGCAGCAAGCTGTGTTGCCCCTTCCCTCCTCATCCCCACCCCCCCGTTTCCCCCCGTCCCCTTGGGTCCTGACTGGCAGGTGCACTGGCTGAACGTGCAGCTGCAGGAGGTGTGGAAGTATGTGGACCGGGTGAGTTGAGGGGGGATGGGTGAGTTGAGGGGGGATGGGTGAGTTGAGGGGGGATGGGTGAGTTGAGGGGGGATGGGTGAGTTGAGGGGGGATGGGTGAGTTGAGGGGGGATGGGTGAGTTGAGGGGGGATGGGTGTGTTGGGGGGGGATGGGTGAGTTGAGGGGTAATGGGTGAGTTGAGGGGGGATGGGTGAGTTGGGGGGGGGATGGGTGAGTTGGGGGGGGATGGGTGAGTTGAGGGGGGATGGGTGAGTTGAGGGGGGATGGGTGAGTTGAGGGGGGATGGGTGAGTTGAGGGGGAATGGGTGAGTTGAGGGGGGATGGGTGAGTTGGGGGGGGATGGGTGAGTTGAGGGGGGATGGGTGAGTTGGGGGGGGATGGGTGAGTTGAGGGGGGATGGGTGAGTTGAGGGGGGATGGGTGAGTTGGGGGGGGATGGGTGAGTTGAGGGGGGATGGGTGAGTTGAGGGGGGATGGGTGAGTTGAGGGGGGATGGGTGAGTTGGGGGGGGATGGGTGAGTTGAGGGGGGATGGGTGAGTTGAGGGGGGATGGGTGAGTTGGGGGGGGATGGGTGAGTTGAGGGGGGATGGGTGAGTTGAGGGGGGATGGGTGAGTTGGGGGGGGATGGGTGAGTTGGGGGGGGATGGGTGAGTTGAGGGGGGATGGGTGAGTTGAGGGGGGATGGGTGAGTTGAGGGGGGATGGGTGAGTTGAGGGGGGATGGGTGAGTTGAGGGGGGATGGGTGAGTTGGGGGGGGATGGGTGAGTTGAGGGGTAATGGGTGAGTTGAGGGGGGATGGGTGAGTTGGGGGGGGATGGGTGAGTTGGGGGGGGATGGGTGAGTTGAGGGGGGATGGGTGAGTTGAGGGGGGATGGGTGAGTTGAGGGGGGATGGGTGAGTTGAGGGGGGATGGGTGAGTTGGGGGGGGATGGGTGAGTTGGGGGGGGATGGGTGAGTTGGGGGGGGATGGGTGAGTTGAGGGGGGATGGGTGAGTTGAGGGGGGATGGGTGAGTTGAGGGGGGATGGGTGAGTTGGGGGGGGATGGGTGAGTTGAGGGGGGATGGGTGAGTTGAGGGGGATGGGTGAGTTGGGGGGGGATGGGTGAGTTGAGGGGGGATGGGTGAGTTGAGGGGGGATGGGTGAGTTGGGGGGGGATGGGTGAGTTGAGGGGGGATGGGTGAGTTGAGGGGGGGTGGGTGAGTTGAGGGGGGATGGGTGAGTTGAGGGGGGATGGGTGAGTTGAGGGGGGATGGGTGAGTTGGGGGGGGATGGGTGAGTTGAGGGGTAATGGGTGAGTTGAGGGGGGATGGGTGAGTTGGGGGGGGATGGGTGAGTTGGGGGGGGATGGGTGAGTTGAGGGGGGATGGGTGAGTTGGGGGGGGATGGGTGAGTTGGGGGGGGATGGGTGAGTTGAGGGGGGATGGGTGAGTTGGGGGGGGATGGGTGAGTTGAGGGGGGATGGGTGAGTTGAGGGGGGATGGGTGAGTTGGGGGGGGATGGGTGAGTTGGGGGGGGATGGGTGAGTTGAGGGGGGATGGGTGAGTTGAGGGGGGATGGGTGAGTTGGGGGGGGATGGGTGAGTTGGGGGGGGATGGGTGAGTTGAGGGCGTGCAGAGGGGGTGATAGGAAGGGTGGGATGGGGAGTTGGGGCGACTGGGTGAGCGGGGGGCGACTGGGTGAGCTGGGGTGACTGAGTGAGCTGGAGTGCCACTGTGAAGTGTAAGCCATCTCATGCTCTCCCCATGCACACCACGTCTCATTGGGTGAAGGACGTCGTAGAGCCCATGCTCCACATTTACCTGCCCTCTCTCTCCCAGCGACAAATCCCTTCTTTTCTTGTCTACACCCTCTCCCGCACTGCAGGCCACGTCTCATCTGGTGAAAGAGGTTGTAGAGCCATTGCTTGACAGCTACAAGCCATCTCTCTCCCTCGCACTCTGCTACAAGCTGCATTTCCCCTCTCCTCTCCCCTCTCCTCTCTCCTCTCCTCTCCCCTCTCCTCTCCCCTCTCCTCTCCCCTCTCCTCTCCCCTCTCCTCTCCCCTCTCCTCTCTCCCCATGCAGGCGACATCGCATCTGGTGAAGGAGGTGGTGGAGCCGATGCTCGACAGCTACAAGCCCTCCTGCCCCCTCTCTCTCCACTCTACCCTCCCCCCCTCTCCTCTCTCCCCATGCAGGCCACATCCCACCTAGTGAAGGAGGTGGTGGAGCCGATGCTGGACAGCTACAAGCCGCCGGGAGTGTCGTCGCTCACCTTCAAGCGCTTCAAGCTCGGCAGCAATGCACCGCGCATAGAAGGTGCGTGCGTCTGGTGCACACAGCAGGTGCGTCTGGTGCACACAGCAGGTGCGCCTGTTGCACACAGCAGGTGCGCGTCTTGTGGGATTGAAGCAGGCGTGCCTCCTCTGCTGTGCCTGCCTGCCAGGCATGGGGTTCAATACAGCAGAGGACATGGCAGTGGGGTTCAATACAGCAGAGGACATGGCAGTGGGGTTCAATACAGCAGAGGACATGGCAGTGGGGTTCAATACAGCAGAGGACATGGCAGTGGGGTTCAATACAGCAGAGGACATGGCAGTGGGGTTCAATACAGCAGAGGACATGGCAGTGGGGTTCAATACAGCAGAGGACATGGCAGTGGGGTTCAATACAGCAGAGGACATGGCAGTGGGGTTCAAGACAGCAGAGGACGCCTAGTGGGACATGGCAGTGAGGCATTGATTGAAAAGAAGGTGAGCTGGCCTGCTGCAGGACGTCTCAAAACAAGAGCGGCAGTACTGCAAGTGGTTGAAGATGCAGGGGATACGAAAGGGCTCTTAGCCTCACGCGTCAAGCGTTCCCCCTCTATGCTTGTGTGCCATGTGCCATGTGCCATGTGCCATGTGCCAGACCCCTTCCCGTTGGCACCATGTGCCACACCACAGGTGTGAAGGTGCAGCGGCTGGTGGGGCAGCGGGTGATGGTGGACATGGGCGTGTGGATGGGGGGACAGGGCCTTAGGGCCTCAACACTCTAGCTATCCCTCTCCCTGCTCATGTCGCATGCCGCCAAATCCCCTCCCTGCTCATCTGCCTTGTATCATGTGGCGCACCACAGGTGTGAAGGTGCAGAGGCTGGTGGAGCAGCAGGTGATGGTTGACATGAACTTGTGGGTGGGTGGGGGGAAGGGCAGGGCATCAAGGCTTCAACACTAAAGCTGTCCCCATCCCTGCTCGTTTGCCACTCCCCCTCCCTGCACCCACACAGGTGTGAAGGTGCAGCGGCTGGTGGAGCAGCAGGTGATGGTGGATATGAACTTGTGGGTGGGGGGTGGCTCATCAATCATCCTCGCCATCGCCAGCATGGGCGTCAAGATGCACGTGCAGGTGTGATGAGATGAGATGAGATGAGATGAGATGAGATGAGATGAGATGAGATGAGATGAGATGAGGTGAGGTGTGATGAGATGAGATGAGATGAGGTGAGATGAGATGAGGTGAGGTGAGATGAGATGAGATGAGATGAGATGAGGTGAGGTGAGATGAGATGAGGTGAGATGAGATGAGATGAGACGAGATGAGATGAGATGAGATGAGGTGAGATGCGATGAGGTGAGACGAGACGAGACGAGACGAGACGAGACGAGGTGAGACGAGATGAGACGACATGAGATGAGACGAGATGAGATGAGACGAGATGAGACGAGATGGGACGACATGGGACGAGATGTTGAGACGAGATGAGACAAGATGGGACGAGATGGGACGAGATGAGATGAGATGAGATGAGATGAGATGAGATGAGATGAGGTGACGTGAGGTGACGTGAGATGAGATGAGATGAGATGAGATGAGATGAGATGAGGTGAGGTGAGGTGAGGTGAGGTGAGGTGAGGTGAGGTGAGGTGAGGTGAGGTGAGATGAGATGAGATGAGATGAGATGAGAGGGCGTCAAGATGCACGTGCAGGTGAGCTCCTAAGACCTGTAGGGCTTAAATGCAAGACGCATTTGCAAGGCGCGTGTGGGTGCCATGGGTGGGTGGGTGGCGGTTTATTCGACTCGCTTTCTCCGTCATCCCTTTTGAATGTGCCCCTTATGTCTTTTCACCCTCTCCTATTTTCCTCTCCCCTCTCTTCCCCTCCTCCCCTCTCTTCCCCTCCTCCCCTCTCTTCCCCTCCTCCCCTCTCTTCCCCTCCTCCCCTCTCTTCCCCTCCCCCCCTCTCTTCCACTCCTAACCTCTCTTCCCCTCTCTTTTCCCCCCTCTCCTCCCCTCGTCATTACACCACACCACACCACAGCTCAAGGACCTGGAGTTGCGGGCGAGGCTGAGGCTCATCCTGCAGCTGGGGGAGGAGCTGCCGTGCATCGATGCCGTTGTCATCTCCATCCACAAAAAGGTGCGCTGCGCACATGCCTGCTTGACTGCACCTCTCTGTAACTCTCCGTAACTCTCTGCACCTCTCTGCACCTCTCTGCACCTCTCTGCACCTCTCTGCAGCTGCCGTGGTCATCTCCATCCACAAGAAGGTGCGCTTTCCACTTGAGTTCCTCCCCGCCCCACCGCACCCCACAGCTCCCTACTCACTCTACCTCTCTCCCACAGCCACGCATGTGCAAAGGTTGCAAGCTGAAGGAAATGGGGAGATTCTCAGGCACCTTCTCACCCTATTCCCACCTTACCACTCTTCCCCAACTCCCCCACCCCCCTCCCCATAACCCCTCACCGCCTGCAGTTGCACATGCGCATAGACACAAGCTGAAGGGGATCGGGGGGTTGTCAGGCAGCTTCTCATCCTCCCCTCCCCTCCCCCTCCCGGCCCCCGTCGCCGGCCTCCCCAGCCGCGCATGCGGATAGAGTACAAGCTGAAGGCGATCGGGGGGCAGCTATCGTCCATCCCGGGGCTGGCGGGGATGATAGAGAGCACGGTGCACAGCGCCATCGAGAGCACCCTCATGTGGCCCGAACGCATCGTCGTGCCGCTCGCCCCGTCGTTCGATGCCAGGTAAGACTCTTGGAGTCCCGGGCATAGCTAGTGCTGGGGATGTGATGTGATGGGATGTGATGTGGTGAGTGAGTGTTTCGGACCTGTTTGCCTCCCTTCCCCCTTCTACTTTCTCCCAAACCCCCCCTTTTCCACTCTGCCCTATTCCTCAGCTCACTGGAGATGCACTACGAGGGTTCCCTGGTGGTAACCGCGTGGAAGGCGGAGGGGTTGAAGAACGTGGACATGATGAGTGTGTCGGACCCCTTTGCCATCCTCTGGACGCATTGCAAGCACAAGGCCGTCACCCGCACCATCGACAACGACCTCAACCCGGTCTGGAACGAAACTTTCGAGCTGCCCGTTGATGACATCCACACTGCAGAGCTCTTCATTCAGGTCTGCCCGCCCACACCCTTTGGGCAGCTCTGCCCCGCCCACCTATGCTTGCTTTGCCTGGCTGCCGCTTGCTTCGTCTGGCTGCTGCTTACTTGGACAATGCTCCTCGAGAACCCTTTTCGACAACTCTCTTCGGGAGCCCTCCGCTCATTGATTGCCAGAAGTGCCAGAAGTGCCAACGTAATCCCCAATGGGATTTTCCCTTCTTCATTCCCGCCGTGAGAGTGTTCCTCTGATAATCCCCGTTGGCGGCTCTCCTCTATTATTTCCCCCTGTGATTCCCCTCTGATTTCCTTCTGTGATTCCTCAGGTGGACGACGAGGACAGCTTTGGCAGTCAGAACCTGGGGTACGCCATGTACCCTTTAGTGGGCCTCCTCGATCAGGACACAGTGCAGACGGTCACGCTGACGCTGCTGCCGAAGCTCAACAACGATCGCATGCTTGGCATCGACCACAAGCTTGGGCGCATCACTCTGCAGGTGGGGGGATGAACACGGTGCATCACTGTGCAGGTGAGAGAATGAACACGTCGCATCACTGTGCAGGCTTTCGAGGTGCCCCAAAAGCATTGCTGCCGAAGGGCAACAATGGCCGCATGTTGGGCATCGGCCACAAGTCGGGTCGCATCACTCTGCAGGTGAGGGAATGAACACGCCGCATCACTGTGCAGTGCAGGCTTTTGAGGCGCCTCAACAGCACTGCTGCTGAAAGTCAGTAACGACCGCATGCTTGGCATCAATCACAAGTTGCGGGGCATCTATCACAAGTTGGGGTGCATCAATCACAACTTGGGGCACATCAGTCACAAGTTGGGGCGCATCAATCACAAGTTGGGGGGCATCAATCACAAGTTGGGGGGCATCTATCACAAGTTGGGGTGCATCAACCACAACTTGGGGCACATCAGTCACAAGTTGGGGCGCATCAATCACAAGTTGGGGCGCATCAATCACAAGTTGGGGGGCATCAATCACAAGTTGAGGGGCATCAGTCACAAGTTGGGGCGCATCAATCACAAGTTGAGGGGCATCAGTCACAAGTTGGGGCGCATCAATCACAAGTTGGGGCGCATCAGTCACAAGTTGGGGGCATCAATCACAAGTTGGGGCGCATCAATCACAAGTTGGGGGGCATCACTCACAAGTTGAGGGGCATCACTCACAAGTTGGGGGGCATCACTCACAAGTTGGGGGGCATCAATCACAAGTTGAGGGGCATCAGTCACAAGTTGGGGCGCATCAATCACAAGTTGAGGGGCATCAGTCACAAGTTGGGGCGCATCAATCACAAGTTGGGGCGCATCAGTCACAAGTTGGGGGCATCAATCACAAGTTGGGGCGCATCAATCACAAGTTGGGGCGCATCAATCACAAGTTGGGGCGCATCAATCACAAGTTGGGGCGCATCAGTCACAAATTGGGGGCATCAGTCACAAGTTGGGGCGCATCAATCACAAGTTGGGGCGCATCAATCACAAGTTGGGGGGCATCAATCACAAGTTGGGGCGCATCAATCACAAGTTGGGGGGCATCAATCACAAGTTGGGGCGCATCAATCACAAGTTGAGGGGCATCAATCACAAGTTGGGGGCATCAGTCACAAGTTGGGGCGCATCAATCACAAGTTGGGGCGCATCAATCACAAGTTGGGGGGCATCAATCACAAGTTGGGGCGCATCAATCACAAGTTGGGGCGCATCACTCACAAGTTGGGGGGCATCAGTCACAAGTTGGGGCGCATCAACCACAAGTTGGGGCGCATCAATCACAAGTTGGGGGGCATCAATCACAAGTTGGGGGGCATCAATCACAAGTTGGGGGGCATCAATCACAAGTTGGGGGGCATCACTCACAAGTTGAGGGGCATCACTCACAAGTTGGGGGGCATCAATCACAAGTTGAGGGGCATCAATCACAAGTTGGGGCGCATCAATCACAAGTTGGGGCGCATCAATCACAAGTTGGGGCGCATCAGTCACAAATTGGGGGCATCAGTCACAAGTTGGGGCGCATCAATCACAAGTTGGGGCGCATCAATCACAAGTTGGGGGGCATCAATCACAAGTTGGGGCGCATCAATCACAAGTTGGGGGGCATCAATCACAAGTTGGGGCGCATCAATCACAAGTTGAGGGGCATCAATCACAAGTTGGGGGCATCAGTCACAAGTTGGGGCGCATCAATCACAAGTTGGGGCGCATCAATCACAAGTTGGGGGGCATCAATCACAAGTTGGGGCGCATCAATCACAAGTTGGGGCGCATCACTCACAAGTTGGGGGGCATCAGTCACAAGTTGGGGCGCATCAACCACAAGTTGGGGCGCATCAATCACAAGTTGGGGGGCATCAATCACAAGTTGGGGGGCATCAATCACAAGTTGGGGGGCATCAATCACAAGTTGGGGGGCATCACTCACAAGTTGAGGGGCATCACTCACAAGTTGGGGGGCATCAATCACAAGTTGAGGGGCATCAATCACAAGTTGGGGGGCATCAGTCACAAGTTGGGGGGCATCAATCACAAGTTGGGGCGCATCAGTCACAAGTTGGGGCGCATCAGTCACAAGTTGGGGGGCATCAGTCACAAGTTGGGGGGCATCAATCACAAGTTGGGGGCATCAATCACAAGTTGGGGCGCATCAATCACAAGTTGGGGGGCATCAGTCACAAGTTGGGGCGCATCAATCACAAGTTGGGGCGCATCAATCACAAGTTGGGGCGCATCAGTCACAAGTTGGGGGGCATCAATCACAAGTTGGGGCGCATCAATCACAAGTTGGGGCGCATCAATCACAAGTTGGGGCGCATCAATCACAAGTTGGGGCGCATCAGTCACAAGTTGGGGGCATCAGTCACAAGTTGGGGCGCATCAATCACAAGTTGGGGCGCATCAATCACAAGTTGGGGCGCATCAGTCACAAGTTGGGGGCATCAGTCACAAGTTGGGGCGCATCAATCACAAGTTGGGGCGCATCAATCACAAGTTGGGGGGCATCAATCACAAGTTGGGGCGCATCAATCACAAGTTGGGGCGCATCAGTCACAAGTTGGGGGCATCAGTCACAAGTTGGGGCGCATCAATCACAAGTTGGGGGGCATCAATCACAAGTTGGGGCGCATCAATCACAAGTTGGGGGGCATCAATCACAAGTTGGGGCGCATCAATCACAAGTTGGGGCGCATCAATCACAAGTTGGGGGGCATCAATCACAAGTTGGGGGGCATCAATCACAAGTTGGGGCGCATCAATCACAAGTTGGGGCGCATCACTCACAAGTTGGGGGGCATCAGTCACAAGTTGGGGCGCATCAATCACAAGTTGGGGCGCATCAATCACAAGTTGGGGGGCATCAATCACAAGTTGGGGGGCATCAATCACAAGTTGGGGGGCATCACTCACAAGTTGAGGGGCATCACTCACAAGTTGGGGGGCATCAATCACAAGTTGAGGGGCATCAATCACAAGTTGGGGGGCATCAGTCACAAGTTGGGGCGCATCAATCACAAGTTGGGGCGCATCAGTCACAAGTTGGGGGGCATCAGTCACAAGTTGGGGGGCATCAATCACAAGTCGGGGGCATCAATCACAAGTTGGGGCGCATCAATCACAAGTTGGGGGGCATCAGTCACAAGTTGGGGCGCATCAATCACAAGTTGGGGCGCATCAATCACAAGTTGGGGCGCATCAATCACAAGTTGGGGCGCATCAATCACAAGTTGGGGGGCATCAATCACAAGTTGGGGCGCATCAATCACAAGTTGGGGGGCATCAATCACAAGTTGGGGGGCATCAATCACAAGTTATCACGTGGGTCCTTATCACGTGGGTCCTTATCACACTCCCAAAATCCTTGTGACATACACATGGTCAAGGTCACGAGGCGAGTATAACTCACATTGTTTGTTACTATGACTTGCATTGCTTGTTCCAACTTTCCACCTCACCTCACAACCCCTTCCGTCCACCCCCGGCCATGGCAGATGGTATACCACAGCTACACTCCAGAGGAGAAGGTGCAGGTGACCGCAGCGGAAAAGGCATGCGACCCCATGCCCCCCTCTGCGTGTGATGAGGCGATTTTTGAGTCGACTCAAAAATCACCCCATGCCCCCCTCCTCCCTCGCCCCCTCTGTCATGCCCTGCCATAACAGATGGTATACTGCAGCTACACTCCAGAGGAGAAGGTGCAGGTGACCGCAGCGGAGAAGGCACGCGACCCCAAGGTGCGCGACTGCGCACTCTCCCCTGATGCCACCGAGCGTGCCTTTGCCACCGCCCTCCTCTCCGCCCGCCACCGCAAGCTCGCCGCCGCCACCTCTGCCTCTCAAGGCAAGCTCGCTGTCCGCTGCTCAGCCCAGTCTGGTGAGGGGGATGGTGGGGCGGAGGGTGAGGGGCATGGGAGTGTGTTGGGGGGAGGGGAAGGTTGTGGAGGGAGTGGGAAGGGGGAGAAGAGTGGAGGGGTTAGCTGGTGGTGGTCGTGGTTGTCGTGGTTGCTTGGTGGTGGTGGGAAGGCAGGGAGCGGAGCGGATGGTGGTGGTGGTGCTTCTGGTGGTGATGGGTCAGGTGGCGGCACCTGCAGTGGCTTTGCAGACGCAGCTGCTGCTGCTGTGGCTGAGGCTGCTGCTGCTGAGGCTGCTGCTGCTGAGGCTGCTGCTGCTGCTGCTGCTGCAGAGGAGGAGGAAACTGAGGATGGGGATGCGGATGCTGATTATGGTGACGGCAGCAGCAGCAAAGCTAAGGATGGTGGAGCGGTGGGGGGGAGGAGTAGCAACAGTGGCAGTATTAGCCAAGCACTAAGTAGGCGGATGAAAAAGGGTGAGGGCCAGAGCAGTGGGAAGTCCATGTGGGGATCACTCAAGGGGTGGACAGGCGGGCAGAAGGCAAAAACGAGGAGAAAGAGCGGTGAAGGGGGGTGGGACGTGGTGGCAGATAAAATGGTGGAGTCAGCAAGAGGGCGGGAGCTTAAGAGGAGCTTCCAGGTGTCTAGGGAGAGTAGGAGGGAGGGAGGAGGAGAGGAGTGGGAGGATGAGGATTGGGAGGATGAGGAGGAGGAGAATGAGGAGGAGGAGGAGGGGTCTCGTGTGGAAAACGGAGAGGAGGGTGAAAGAGGGATGGAAGGGGGGGAGAATGTGAGGGAGAGGGATCTCCGAGGCGGTGGGCCTGGTGCAGGTTCAGAGGGGGGAGGTGAGGAGGATGGAGAGGCAGAGAAAGAGCAGACGAGACATTCCGAGCCCACGATAGAGGGATGTGCGCGGCAAGAGAGTTCAACGGAGGGTGGAGATGGAAGTGGGGGAGAGAGAATTGCAGGAGAAGGCAGAATGAATGGTGAGATGAAGGCGGGTGAGGGAGAAGGTGCAGAAGGTGTGGCAGGTGCCAGTGGTGGTGCAGGGGCGGGTGGCAGGGACGGGCAGGGGAGGTGTGTGGGTGCGGTGTCGAGGAAGAGGGAGGTAAGGCGGCTGTTGCTGGGAGCAATGCTGGCGCGGAGAGATGGTCCCGAGGTTGCCCTCTCTCGCACTCCCTCTGCTCACACTGCTGATGCTGCTGCTGCTGCTGCTGCTGCTGCTGCTGCTGGCGCTGCTGCTGCTGCTGCTGCTGCTGGCGCTGCTGCTGCTGCTTTTACTAAGGCTACTGATGCTGGTGCTGCTGCTGATGGTTCTGGCGCTGGTGATGCTGGTGGTGATGGTGGTGGTGGTGTGCGGAGTGGGCATGGTGGGGAGGGCGGTGGGGTGGGAGTGAACAGCGGTGCTGGGTGGTGGGATGCGGTGATGGACGGTATTGTGGAGTTGGTGGAAGAGCAAGAGCGAGAGCGAGAGCTCAAGCGTAGCATGCAGGTGTCGAGGAGATGGCGGTTTGGGGGTGTAGGAGGAGAGGAGGATGGGGAGGAGTGCGAAGAAGAGGAGGGAAAAGAGGAGGAGGGGGAAGAGGAGGATGGAGAAGAGGTGGGAGGAGGAGCGGAGGGCTCTTCTTGGCAGAAGGACAAGGAGGAATCAGGAGGAGGTTTGGGCGATGGGCATGCGAGCAAGGTAGGTGGTGCAGTGAGAAAGAGGGAGCTCAGGAGCTTGCTGCTGGGGGCGCTGTTGGAGAGAAAGGACAGCCCGCGGGGACTACAGTCTAGTGTTGGCGCTGCTTCTGGTGATGGTGGCAGTGGCAGTGCGAGTCCCAGTCTCAGTCTCAGTGGTATTGGTTCTGGTGCTGGTGCTGGTGGTGGCAGCGGCAGGAGCGGGGAGGTCAAGGGGCTGAGGAGAAGGTGGGGCGCACTGATAGAGTCCTCTCAGTCTTCCACTCCTCGCACTGCCGCCGGTGCCGCCAGTGCTGCCGCTGGTACCGGTGCTGCCGATGCTCCTGCTGTTGCCGGTGCTGCCAGTGCTGCCGATGCTCCTGTTGTTACCGGTGCTGCGGGTGCTGCTGCGGCTATTGCAGCGGCTATTGCTGCCGCAAGGGATCGAAGAATCTCCTCTTCCTCCACCGCTGCTGCAAGGGATCGAAGAATCTCCTCTTCCTCCACCGCTGCTGCAAGGGATCGAAGAATCTCCTCTTCCTCCACCGCTGCCGCAAGGGATCGAAGAATCTCCTCTTCCTCCACCGCTGCCGCAAGGGATCGAAGAATCTCCTCTTCCTCCACCGCTGCCGCAAGGGATCGAAGAATCTCCTCTTCCTCCACCGCTGCCGCAAGGGATCGAAGAATCTCCTCTTCCTCCACCGCTGCCGCAAGGGATCGAAGAATCTCCTCTTCCTCCACCGCTGCCGCAAGGGATCGAAGAATCTCCTCTTCCTCCACCGCTGCCGCAAGGGATCGAAGAATCTCCTCTTCCTCCACCGCTTTTGAGTCGGCCCTGTCAGGGAGTGCTACAAGGAGTGATGTCTCTTCCTCTGCCACAGTGGGGAGTGTGAATGCTGCTAAGCTTTCCAACGTGGTAGCTGCTGGGAGTGCTGCTGGGAGTGCTGCTGGGAGTGCTGCTGGCAGTGCTGCTGGCAGTGCTGCTGGGAGTGCTGCTGGGAGTGCTGCTGGCAGTGCTGCTGGGAGTGCTGTGGGGAGGAAGCCTTTAGGTGGGATGGCAAGGGCCGTTGATACGGGTCGAGCCTTCAGCCAGGCTTTAAGCATCTTCGCGGATAGGAAGATGCCTGGAAAGGGGCTGGGAGGGAAGGGTCTTGCTGCTGTGAAGCGTGTGGGTGGTGGAGGGCACACGCGCAGTAAGACGGCTGGGGAGGCGATTTGCCTGGATGCAGATGAAACGTTGGTGGAGAGAGATGAAACGGTGGTGGTGGGAGATGAAACGTTGGTGGTGGGAGATGAAATGGTGGTGGAGGGGGGTAAATCGGTGCAGGAGGGAGATGAAACGCGCGGGTGTGGCAGCGATGGGAAGAGGGAGGTGACTTTTGAGTCGACTCAAAAGGTGCATGGTGGATTTGGTAGCAAGGCAAAGAGCTATGCTGCTCTGGAAGATGCACTTGCAGGAGAGAGGGCGATGGAGGGAGATGGGGAGGAGGGAGGTGGAGAGGAGGGAGATGGTGAGGCTGAGTGTGATACGGCATGGGAAATATGTGTGCCTGTGACGAGTGTGCCTGTGGGTGGGAACGTGGGGGAGGGAGTGAGGGAGGGAGTGAGGGAGTGCAAGGAAGCGAAGGGATACGGGCCAGGGGCGTGTGATGAGGGCGGTGGTGAGATTGGGAGGAGAGTCGAGAGCTCAGAGCTGGGTGGGTGCAGAGAGGTTAGTGGCGGTGCTGACTGTGCTGGGGCAAGGGAGCAGGTAGGAAGTGATGCTGCGTTGAGAGAGGGGAGAGAGAGGTGTGGGGAGGAAAAGAGCATTGGGGAGCGGGAGAGGTGTGGAGAGGGGACGGATGAGCATATGAGGGAGGGCGGTGTAGGTGAGGGAAGGGGCGAGGATGATGTGAGGGATGAGAGACATGAGAGCGGGGAGAGAGGAGTGAGACATGAAAGAGAGGAGAGCGCTGAAAGAGATGAAAGAGGTGAAAGAGATGAGGGAGACAAGCGAGCGGAGAGAGGGATGGAGGATGAAGAAGCGAGAGGGAGGTGTGAAGGAGAGGACAGAGGAGGGAGTGGGGGAGAGGGCAGCATGAATGAGTCGATCAGAAGCCATGCAGGTGAATCAGCGGGGCTGGCAGAGACAGAGGAGAGCAGAGAAGGGGAGAGTGGAGAAGGGGAGATTAGAGAAGGAGAGAGCAGAGGGGAGGAGAGCAGAGAAGGGAATAGTAGAGAAGGGGAGAGGGGAGAGCAGATCAGTTTGAGCATGGAAAGAGCTTGTGCAGCTGATGCGCTGCATTCATCGACTTCATGCTCTGCAGTGTCGGGTGCTGCTAGCAGACATGTTTCAGCGGGGAGCAAGGAAGGTAGGGAATTTCCTGGCGGGAGAGAAGGAATGGGGGGTGATGACACAGCGATGAGTGAAAGTGCAACTGACACGTGGCATCAAGGAGATGAAACTCTTGAGCAAGGAGATGAAGCTTGGAGGGAGGGAGATGTGCTTGTGGCAGCGGGGGCTGCGGACTGTGTGGGGGAGGTGGGGGTGAAGGGAGCAGCAGGGGCGGACACAGAGTGCAGTGCGATTGCGGATGGTTTACATGCTTGGAGAGAGCAGGGCGATGGGGAGATGGGTGAAGGAGGACAGTTGGATGGAGGTAGAAGAGGAGCAGAGGAAGAGAGAAGAGGAGGAGAGGAAGAGAGAAGAGGAGGAGAGGGAGAGAGAAGAGGAGGAGAGGAAGAGAGAAGAGGAGGGGGGCAGGAGGAAGAAAGAAGAGGTGGGGAGCAGGAGGAAGAGAGAAGAGGAAGTGAGCAGGGTGAAGAGAGAAGAGGAGGAGAACTGGAGGAAGAGAGGATAGGAGGAGAGCAGGGGGGAGAAGGAAGAAGAGACGAGGAGCCCATTGGGCAGAACACGCGACTCAAGGAGGGGGCAGCAGAGAAGGGGGCAGCAGCGGAAGGAGCAGCAGCAGAGGGACCAGCAGCAGAGGCTGGAGGGAAGGAGGGTGTAGGAGAAGAGGTGGGAGGGGAGAAGGGGGAGGGAGAGGGCGGGCGAGGAGAGGTGGGGGGAGGAGAGGAGGCGGATACACTGGCAGTGAGCGGGCCCCAACTGAGCCCTGCTGCGCGGGGGTGGGGTGGTGCATGGCTGGGCGCTGCTGTGCATGTGAGTCGAGTCGCAGGCAAGGCGATCCGTCGCACCCCTGCCTCTGTTGCTGCAGCCGCTGCTGCTGCCCCTGGGTTTGGGCCTGGAAGGAAATCTGGAAAGAAGTTGTTGGATGGTGGGAGGAAGGAGGAGGTAGGAAATGAGGAGGAACAGGTAGCAGGGCAGCCTGTTGAGGTGTCTGAGAAGGCGGTTGGGCAAGCTGGAAAGGATGAGGACGAGTGGAAAGACGCGCCATTCTCTTTCACTGCTGCTTCGTGGTCTTTTTCTGCTGCGCCTGATCTTCCCCCTTCTCTTGCTGACCCAAGCCTTAAAGCTGCAGCGTCTTCGGTGCCCACAGCACCAGCGCCAGAAGCAACAGCACCAGCAGCAGCTGCTGCAGCAGCATCACCAGCACTACCAACAGCAGCAGAAGCAGGGACAGCAGTAGCAGGGAGTGCAGAAGCAGCAGGGGCAGCAGCGGCAGGAGAGCAACAGCAGGAGCGGGTGAAGCCACCAGCCATCCCCATCCCCATCCCAGTGCGCACAGCAGCAAGCATGGGCCTCGTCTCCTCTTCCCGCATCCCCTCCTCTTCCTTCAACAGGGTTACCTTCTCCACCCTCCCTTCCCCCCGCTTCATCAGCAAGTTTCTGGGATCCGCCAGCCCGGGTTTATCCAGTCAATCAAGTCAACCCAGTCAACCCAGTCAACCCAGTCAAGGCAGTCAACCCAGTCAAGGCAGTCAAGCCAGTCAAGGCAGTCAGCGCAGCTCTGGTCAGTCGAGTCAACTCAGTCCCAGTCTTCTGAGTCCTTATCAGTCCAATTCCAGTCAAGACATGGACTCCAGTCAGTTGGATCGGTATGATTCTGAGCCGCCCCAGCTCAGCCGTCACTACACTGAACCTAATAAGTCCAGTCGTCACTACACCGATCCTAGTCAGCACAACCGGCCTCTTCAGGCGAATCGGCGAACCAAGTCGTTTGAAGATCTAGAAGATTCCGAGTTGGGCAATATGGGGGATGAATCGGGACCGTTGGATGCAGAAGACATCCGTGTCCGCTCGAAATCGGCTTGTCAGCAAGCGCGGAGCAATGGGTCAGCTTCGGAAAGGGTAGGCGTGACACGGTCAGATCCCGAGATCTTGGACTCTATCTGCATAGGCTCAGAGAGAAGCGCCTCGGGAATGTCCAGCTTTATTGGCTCTTCCAGCCCTTATGAGGACATCCCAGGCGGGAAGGTTTTGAACAAAGGGAAGGGGAAGGGTGGAGCATGGGCATTTGCTGAGAATGTCAAGAATGTGGGGCGGGCGCTTAGAGGAATGAAGGGCAGCACCAAGTGTGTATACTCTCCGGAGGAGTTGCGGGATCGGTTGGACGATAGGCGAGAGGAGATGGAGAGGATGGCTGAGATGGAGGGGAAGCGGGCAAATGCAGATATGGATTTGGATTGAGCTAGTTAGCTGGTTGATAATAAAAGCCGGTTGCAAAATTGGGTACTATATGGCGGTAGTTAGTTCTTCTTGATGTATTGTTCTTGTGGTTAGGAACTTCTCGTGTTTAACCTTTTACCGTATATACGTACCTGCGTTACATTGTGTTGTGTTATCCACCCAAAAACTGACTTCACTAATTACGTTGTTGCTAGTGAGATTACCTAATTTGGGTTGCTAAAGAAAAAATCACATTGCATCACATGAGACATGGTATGGTGACTTCCCTCCAAGAGAATGTTTTGCACTTGGGGTGCCAACTAGGCGGCTAACAGCCACATTCATTTGAGGGTGTAGCATGAGAGAGATGGAGATAATAGTGCAAGGCTAGAGTTGAATGCTGAAGTGTTGTTGGAAATAATAGGTCACAAGAGTAGCGGAAATACTCTAGGAATTAATGACGTCCCTACGGTGGGGCAATGGTCACTAAGTGGTAGCTCTCGTGGCTTGTAACGTGGTGCCAGAGCGGCGGCCGAGGGTAGGCCGGACACAAGGTGGAGAATTGTGTAATAAGAAGCATGCAATACATTCAGTTATATAGCAAACACATAGGACAGGCGGTTACCGTGGCGCAGCTGTTACAGTTGCGCCACGTCGCTTGGGTTGCCTTGTTACAGTCGCGCTGCGCGACTGTTTAGCTCCTTTAAGGGGGGGTATTCTGCTGCGCCCTACAAGGCCCTTTGTGTGCAGTGCAGCCTGCCCCACTGTCGATTCGACTCCTCAGCTGCCACGAGGGTCGCAACTGCTGTGCGCGGTTGCACCCTTGTAGCTCGATTCTCCAGTCAACATACTCGATATGGAGGGGCTCGATACTACACTTCTGATAGTTTAGATTACAATGAAATCCGTAAAATCATATTTGCAACAAGTGTGACATACCCTAGACTATTCTGGATTTTCCTACATGATCCTATACAGAAAACTAAAAGGGGAAAGAGAGACATAGATAAAGGAGACACACCTTTGTGTGTCAGTGTTCCATAACGATACATGGTGTCTGAGTATCTGCTTTGCAATGTGTTCGAATCCCACCTTTTGAACTTCACAAAAGGGGACACACCCAGCACAAGAAACTCCCACAAACTACCCTGCACTGTTCGCATACTTCTGGCGTCGCAAGTGTCGCCCTGGTGAGTTTGAATCTGTTGGAATGGAAGTCACTCGTTCGCGAATGGTGTTTGCGAAATTCAGGTGAGTTTGAAAATGTTCGCCTCATGGTCGTCACTTTCTGCGAGTGCTGTAGAACCGAATTGAAACGTACCCAAACTAGCCGAACCCAGAATGTGGAGAGAAGAATTCAAGCAGATACAGAAGACTTGATCGGATTCCGAAATTCCTTGATTCTTCAGGAGCCATGAACGCGCAGTGGCTGATAGTCCACAATTACCACATCTGCGACTTATTCCCACGACGGGGCGCGACAATGATATTCTTCTTCCACGGCGCTCTTGTTAACAGTAGTGCCATGCTCACGCCGTGGGAAGTGGGCTGAGGCAGCCTTCCGTCGCGAATCGCGATCGTGAGGCGCCATGCCCTGCCACTGTCGTCCTAGCGTCGAGATTCGCTACTATAAAGCCTTTCGATAGACCACAGCATCAGCATGCTTCATTCTTCTAGAAGTCGACTACCCTAATCTTACCTGGCCTAAGCTTCACCACTTCAGGGATTCCCTCTTCTAATTCCTTCATCTGACCGCTTGCTGCCAGAAGCACCATTCGCATCGATCGCCGTTCTTATATTTGATAGTTGTATCACCGTTCTTTCGTGTTGTTCCCTTCAGATCCTTCCTCGACGCCGTCATGTCTCGAGCGTTTCTCCTCCTCCTCGCGCTATCCGCGTTATTAGCAGCAGCCGGCGGCGTCGCTGCTGCGACTAACCCCCCCCGCTCAGGAGGGGTCGCTCTGCGCGGCGGCGACGGCAGCGTGACCGGCGGGATGGCAACAGCAGGCGGGCGCGGCGGCAGCGGCGGTCCCCACGCCGTTTCGCACGGCGATTCGCACGCCGTTTCGCTCGGCGATTCGCGACACGGCGGGATTCCCGGCGGGGGGAGTGACGAGGAGAGAGAGGACGGCGACGGAGGCCACGGCGGGCATGGCGGCCGGCGGCATGATGATAACGACGAGGACGACTCGGCTGCTGATGACGAGCATGAGAGCGAGCACGAGGGCGAGGATGAGAACAAGGATGATAGCGACGATGATAACGAGCACGGGGGTGGTGGTGGTAGCAGCAGCCATGGCGGTGGGCTGTGCGGGCGGGGCGGGTGCAGCAACGACTCGGGCGAGGTGGGGTACTGGAAGCTGCCCGACTACGGCCGCTGCTCCATCGGCACCGGCAGCAGCGGTGGTGCGCCGAGGAAGGCAGATGAGGCGTGGTGTGCGGGGGCAGCGGTGGGCGTGAAGGAGTGCTGCAGTCGATGCAGCAGTGTTAACGCCACGGTCGATGGTACTCCCTTCAACTGCCGCCACTGGGCGCACATCCCGTAAGTGCCTCCCCTTTCCCCTTTCAACTTGTATCTATGGCTGTACATTCCCTCGCTCTTCCTGCACAACTAACGCCATCAGCTTGCGTCGTTCGCTGCACATCTCCTGAGCGGAGAAGAAAATTCTCCATGTCGAAATGCACCAGTATTCTTTTCTCCGCTGCGCATTTCCACGTTCCTTTTCAAATACTGGTAGACTCTGTGACTGTTTCATTCAATGGGTACTGTTCCCGTCCCCTTCATATCTCCCAACCTCTCCGCTCTTCCCTTCCCTTGCTTCAAATCTCCCAGATCTCCCGGCTCTCACGACCGCGGCAGCAGTGAGCAGCGAGGCAAGTGCGTCCTCCTGCCGGCCGTCGACGCCCTCACGCCCGAGAAGGCCCGCAAGGGGCGCTGCGGCACCAACACGGGCGGCGACACGGTGCGAGTGGGGCGGCGGTGTGCGTACGGCGAGAACGACCCGCACTTCCTGGGTGCGCACGGCACGCGGTTTGACTTCAACGGGCTGCCGCGCCGCTCCTTCTGCCTCTACACCGACCGCCGCGTGCATGTCAACATGGCCATGCGCGGCTATCTCAACCACCGCCCCCTTGCACTCCCACCCACCTCTGCTGCTGGTAACCATAGCACGCTTGCTGCGGCCCGTTTCGTCAACGGCTCGGCGGTTCGCACGTGGATCCGACAGCTGGCAATCATGTGGCACGACGGCGAGAGCAGCAACAGCAGCAACGTCGCTAGCGCAAACGTTAATGCGTCGTCTCACTCTCTCGTGCTCACGGCACGGGACGGCAAGGAGCAGACTCGCGGCGCTCAAGGCTTCCTTGCATCCGCCAGTCTTGACGGCAAGCCTCTCCCACGCCTCACCCTTGGCGAGAGCCACGTTCTCTCCAACAAGCGGCTGGTTCTGTCCTTTGTGGGCCAGGAGAAGACCGGCCCATTCGATATGGACGTGTACACCCTCCGCCTGGAAAATCTCCTGGAGCTCGAGCTGAAGCTGCGCGCGGCGCACCCTCTGTTGCAAACACCCGAGGACGCGCAGGTGCACATCAACCTGATGTTTGTGGACTCGAATCCGAGCAGCGAGGTGCATGGGGTGATGGGGCAGACGTACCGCAGCGGCAGGGAGCAGCGCACCATGGAGTATTCGAGGCTTGCTGCTCTGCTGCACCACCCTGTGTCGGTGGATGGGGAGGAGGGGAAGGGGTTTCTGGATGGGGAGGTGGGGGATTACGAGACATCTGGGGTGACTGCCACTGACTGCAGATTCACTGCTTTCAATGGCGGCCAGCTGCCTCTGCTGGGGGAGTAATGGATAGGAACGCATGGAAGGGGAGGATACTTACTCATGTTGCCTCCCTAGATACCGTCTCTCTCCCTTGCTTGTCAAAATATATGTATTTGTATGCTAGGTTTAGGGCTAGCACTTCTATGCCCTTGTATGCCATTCTGTAATGCAAGCACCCATTTCTCCGCACGACATGGTATTGAGAGTAGGCATTCTTCCCTCCCCCACTTCCGCTCCCTCCCTCAGCCCTTGATTAGTAGTTTTGAACCGAGGCGGCGCCCATCCCCTAGGCTTGAATCCGTCACCTTAGGGTAGGCCCTCCCGCAGGCTCACTGCGTCGCCAGTTAGGACACCTGACTTGGTTTCAGAGCAGGTCCTGTTCCAGAACCGTTTTTTTAGGGCCCACCACATAGCACTGCCCCACAAGTCGCGTCGCCCTGCCCTGCCTGTCGCGTCGCCCTGCCCTGCCTGTCGCGTTGCCCTGCTGGCTGTTGCGTCGCCCTGCCCTGCCAGTCGCGTCGCCCTGCTGGCCGTCGCGTCGCCCTGCTGCCCGCGCGCCGCATTGCTGGCAGCCGCGCCGCCCTACCCTGCTTGCGCGTCGCCCTGCCCTGCCCGCGCTGAGCCGCCCTGCTGCCCGCACCGCCCTGCTGCGAGCCGCCCTGCTGCTCGCGCCGCCCTGCTGCTGCCCGCCCTGCTGCACGTAGCCCTGCTGGCCGGCAACCCTGCTTCCCGCGCGCCGCCCTGCTGGCAGCCGCACCGCTCTGCCCTGCCCACGCGCCGCCCTGCTGGCCGCCGCCCTGCCCTGCCATTGCACTTCCCTGGCCTGGCCGCGCGCCGCTCTTCCCTAGCCGTGCGCCGCCTCTCCCTGCCCTGCGCGCTTCCCTAGTCCTCGCACGCCGCCCTGCCTGCGTGCTGCCCTGATGGTCGCGCGACACCCTGCTCTGCCCGCTATGGCTTCTCTCAGTGTTCTCACCTTCGATCATGAGGGCCGTCCGATCCAGTTCGATACGTGGCTCGATGACTTACAGCTGTACCTACTGAGCAATTCTAGAGACAGCGTTTCGTTGTTTGACCACACGTCTGGAGCCTCTCTCGCCCCTCCCGCCACAGCTGCCAGTGCGACTCGCTCACAGTGGCTTACCCGTGACGTTGCTGCTCGCTTAGCCGTTCGCAACCACCTGCCGTTAGCCGAATGCGCTCACTTTGGTCAGCACAAGACTGCTAAAGCCCTATACGACGCTGTACTCGCTCGTTATTCTTCCCCTGCCACTGCTGCTCTCAGCCGTCTTATACTGCCCTACCTGTTTCCCGAGCTGTCAGCCTTTGCCACAGTCGAGGACCTCATTACCCACCTTCGCACTAGCGACACTCGCTACCGCGCTGCCCTCCCAGCCGAGTTCCTAGACAGGAACCCGCCCCCGATGTACATCACTCTCTACTTCATAGTCACCCGCCTCCCTGACTCTCTTCGCGCAGTCAGGGATGACTTTCTCGCACTTGACCCCACAGACCTCACTATCGACCTGCTCGAGAAGCACCTCCTTGCAGCTGAGACTAGCGTAGTCGCTGTAGGTGCTGCTCGTGGCAATCCTCGCACACCCTTCTTTGAGGGGTGTTCCCCCTCCCTCCTTGCCCCCTCCTACGCTTCTGCTGCTGCTCTTGACATCCTTGGTACTGAGGATGTCGGGGCTGCTTCTGCTCTTAGTGGGAAGGGCCACAGCAGCAAGGGCAAGGGTGGCAAGAGTGGTGGCGGTGGCAGCGGGGGTGGTGGTGGTGGAGGCAGTGGAGGCGGTGGAGGTGGCGGAGGTGGTGGCAGTGGTGGGAGTGGTGGCGGGAGTGGGGGCTTTGGTGGCGGCAGTGGTGGCAGCGGTGGGGGTGGGGGTGGCAGTGGTGGCGGCAGTGGGAGTGGTGGCAGGGGCAATGGTGGCAGTCGGGGTGGAGCTGTTCAAAGGGTAGGTTCTGGCAGTGGCCAGAGGCATCAGCAGCAGCGTCGGAGCGAGACCCCTACGCCCCAGCAGCTTCGTGAGTGGTTTGCTCAGCGTGGGGCGTCTGGGGGTAGTGTTCGTTGCCCGTATGTCATTCGCACAGGTGACCGCGCTGGTCAGACATGCGGGAAGTTTCACACTCAGCGCCGCTGCTTCTCCCGCCTAGACGACGCTTGGCGCGCAGAGTTTGGCGACGAGGCTGAGCGCCCCAGCTGGCTAGAGCTGCTTAGGTCTGGAGTTGATATCTTTGCTCTTCACTATGATGCTATCTTTGCTGCCATGTATGCCTTGTCTATTAGTCCTGAGGGTGACTGTTACCGGTGTGTGTTAGAGGCTGTTGCTCTAGGTGCAAGTGGGTCTGATCTACCTGGTACTTTGCCTGCTGAGGCCTTGCACACCTTCACACTTGACTCAAGTGCTTCCTGGTGTTTCTTTCACGACAGTACCACCCTCACTCCACTCCCTGCACCTGTTCCGGTCAGACTGGCTGACCCCTCAGGGGGCCCAGTTCTTGTCCGTTCCTCCACTGTTCTCCCGTGTCCGGCGGTTCCGTCCGGCTCACTCTCATATGTTCACCTCCCCTCGTTCTCTACGAACTTGGTGAGTACCGCTGCTCTCCAGGATGCGATGGTCACTACCACCACTACGGGGGTCAGCGTGTGTCGATCTGCACGTGTACACGGACGTGCTGTCACCTGGCCACGTTCACCCGTAGGCCTGGGTCAAGTCTGTATACACTGACTACTGAGCCTCTTCAGGTAGATGCGTCTGCTCAGGTGTCCGCGTCAGGTCTGGTAGCAGCCCCCTTGCTCCTGTCGCCTCCTGTCGCACCAGACTCTCCTGTTGCACCACCGCCTTGGTCACCCCTCCCTGCCACGCCTTCGTGGCATGCACTCCTGCCTCCTTGTTTCTGGTCTTCCCAGGTCTCTGCCTCCCCTCCCGCCCTCGCCTACCCCGCCCTGCCTTCCTTGCGTCGAGGGGCGGCAGCAGAACTCTCAAGAGCAAATTGGCCTTGGAACAAGAACTGGGAGGCACGGAGCAGAGGAAATGGGCCCTTAATGCTTGGGACGCAACACCGCAAAGATGGAAGGACCTGTTACTTAAACAGCTGACAGCAGAGGAAATCTTCAGGGAGACGGGTCTGGTTCGCTTGCCGTCGTACCGCCCGGGGGAGTTCTTCTACTATCAATTGGAGTTCGTGAACGAAGGCGTACTATATGGGCGGAGGGTGACCGTGGATAAAAAGGGATATATATCGGCGATGCAGTATGCTAGCATGGTAACAGTGGACTTTCTATGGCGGTCACAGGAGGGAGGGTCCGAGGCCTACTCGGTGCCCCAAGAACGCGCCAACTTTGCTCCCCAATCTGTGAGAAAGGCGAGCAGGCCGGGCTGAAACAGCTGATAAAGGCGATGAAACCCCCTTCGACTCAACCTAAGCAGCAGCTGCAATGGGAAAAAGTGATGGGGAGGAAGATTGATTGGGGGAAGGCCATCACAATTCGCGACTCGCTGGCAACCCCATGCAGGGCACGTGAAGTGGTGCTGAGGGTGCACAGTAACAACCTCCAAGTGGGAGAGAGGCTCCCCTTCCTGGGCGCGAGGGCGAAATGCACGCCCAGTGATCACTGCTTATTTAGCTGTCCAATGATCCAGCCAGCGGTGGAAGTGATGAAAAAGGCGGTGCAATGCATGAATCCAGGCAGGGATATGAGGTCTCTCGGGGACATGCTCTTTCAAAAGAGCGGCACGTCGTCCGGTTTTCCGGAGGCTGCAATCATTTCCATTACAGCGCAGCAGGTGTGGTTGGAGAGATGCAATGCAGTGTTCCGAGGCAGCCGTTTCCAGCCAAAAAGGGCACTGAGGCGCTTAGCAGTTGGTTTTACAAGGCACGTGAAGGTATACAGTAGAGCGCGGAAGATAATGGTTAGCAGAAGTGGCTCGAAAAGGACGGGTGACTGGAGTCACTTGAACACTGACGAGGCACACGCCATGCGCAGACTTTACGAGAACGAGGCTTTGATGACGTGAAGAGCAGCTTTCAAAGCAATCTGGGAAGATGGCGGTGTAGCTTTCCAGCCTCCGTAAAGGGATAATAGGGGGTCTGGTTACTTGTAACCTTTTTCATGCCCTCCTAGCATCAGTTACGACTGCGGATGTATGTATAAGTGTAGTGTAGTAATGTCCAAAAAAAAAAAAAAAACAAACAAAGGGGCGGCAGCGCGCCGCTCCTCACTCCTCCTCGTTTCCCCCGACGACTACTCCCCCGCAGACTCTCCACATGGACGTGTGGGACCTAGCCCGCGTCAGAGGACAGGGCCGCGAGCGCTACTTCCTGCTGGTTGTTGACGACTACACGCGTTACACCACGGTCTTCCCCTTGCGCAGCAAGGGTGAGGTCGTTGATGTCTTGATCCCTTGGATCCGCGCAGTCCGTCTCCAGCTCCGTGAGCGGTTCCGTGAGGACCTTCCTGTCCTGCATCTGCACTATGACAGAGGTGGTGAGTTCTCCTCCGACCTCTTGCGGGACTTTTGTCGTGGGGAGGGCATTCTCCAGTCGTTCACGCTTCCGACCTCCCCGCAGCAAAATGGGGTTGCTGAGCGCCGCATTGGCTTAGTCATGGAGGTGGCTCGTACCTCCATGATCCATGCGGCTGCTCCCCATTTTCTGTGGCCGTTTGCGGTCTGGTACGCTGCGCATCATCTCAACCTCTGGCCCCGTGTCTCCTTGCCGGAGACCTTGCCTACACTGAGTTGGACGGGGAAGGTTGGCGATGCGTTGGTGTTCCGGGTCTGGGGCTCTCGTGCCTGTGTCCGCGATGCTTCCGCGGACAAGCTCTCCTCCCGCGCCATTCCCTGCGTCTTCCTTGGCTTTCCTGCTGACGTGCCTAGCTGGCAGTTTTACCACCCCACCTCGCGCCGTGTCCTGCTCTCTCAAGACGTCACGTTTGACGAGTCGGTTCCCTTTTACCGTCTCTTCCCCTACCGCACTTCCCCTCTCCCCCCCCCCTGCTGCTCTTCCTCGATCCAGGTCCCCCT